ACCTGTAAGCCCACTGTCTGCGTCAACAGAAGTAAATCATTGTTTCCCTGCACAAAACGAACAGGCTGCACCGCCTTAACCCAGTGACCAACCACACTGCCTTTACTTCCATTAAACAAGAGGGGAAAGTTAGCAAGACATGAGAAAAAAAATCCATATCTTTGCATTTCCTGTAAGAAATGTACACTCTTGTGTAGATATACGTTACAACCCACATAGAGACAACATACAAAAACTACACACAGACGCAATACAGGATCAGTACATTTTTACAGTTACATACTACATGGATAAGCATTAAGAGGCAGGATAAAGCGTTTAAAATTACCTGATAGTTGTTTGTTAACAAACACACGCAACAAATCCCTCATACTGTCGATTGAAACTGTTGGATTAGCTCCATTTTTCTTAAAGAACGTGATATCATCCTCAGATACGTTTATTCTACATTTGGTTGAGAAAGGAGGAAAGGCATTAGAGGTATAAGCAAGAATAGAAAGAACTAGTAAATGTCACAGATTTCACAGTACTAAATTCTTATAGAATACTGAACTGGCAAGAGAGTACAAATACAAACAATTTCGAATTACTCAAATTTTGATAAAGCTTCTTAAATATCTATGTTTTAGGAATTGTTTCCCTTAAATGATTGTTGCTAATTGGATCAGGAAATAGGAAACTCAGGATAGGTACCTTGTCCTATGCCACAGGTAATCAGACCGGTCTTTTGTAACATTCAAATGCTCCAATAATCCTTGGGAAGTGAAATTGTTTTCACCCCATATGCCAATAGGCTCTTGCAAAGCCATCCAAGATTTTGAGATATAAGAAACATTATCCTGCCTCACGGATTTTTGCAGTATAGACATACTACCCAGAGGAGACCTTGCAGACTCTACCGTTTTAACAGAAGTTTGTGCTCCTACCTGCTCAAGAACAGACAGAAACAAGAATCTCAAAAACCAACCACTATCTGAAGCAAACAGAAAAGCCAATTGCCATATCACTGAAAGTGCTAAAGGAACTGTCAGACCACTGGACTAAATTTAAGTAAGACAAACTGCCCACAAAAAAACTTTTCAGAATTCCACAAACAATTAATTACCAGTGAAATGAATTTATATTAAGGGTAGATATAGAAATCAAACCTTGGCAGTGTTGAAGGCCACATGTCGACAATCTGGCAATATACTCACTGACCAAGGTGGTAAAGTATATGATTGGCCATTAAATTTTACATATGCGGATTTGTGCTCATCAATGTTTGCGAGAAATGCAGCGCACACCTTTCCTCCAGCCTCACCATCTCCATGATAAATGTGTGCCTGGACTTTGCGTTATTTACACACAAGAATCCGGAATATTCAACATAGATAATATTAAACCTTCTATTCATTCTGAAAGCTAATCAAAACAACAGTCCAGTCGTTCGTTCAATTGATAAGTTAAATTTAGACATACAATCAAACGAGAATTATTCTCAAATACCCAATACTGGCAATGAAAACTTTTGACAGCTAAAGTAGAGGAATAACAGAAATGGTCTATTATAACCTAGAAAAGAAGAGTGAGCTCTACTAATGTAAATTATATGCAACAAGCATATGAGAGTAGGAACGGACCTCCTGATTTGATCCCAGTTTTCTATATTGAGGTGCATCTGCTGTAACAAGGGCAGGTTCACAAAGTTTTATGGCAGCATGTAGATCCTTTAGATGCCCCCATTTTGGCTCGCTCTTCAGGCCTTAGTAAATGACAAACATAATTTCATTAGAAAAACAAGTAACATTTCTTAGCAATCTATTTTCCTGCTAGCCTTAACTTTCACGCACCATATTCATCAAGAGGAGCATCATAATCATAGCTTGTAATGTAGAAAGGACCGCCAGAAGTTCGACCAAAGTTTGTTCCACCAAAATACTGCAAACATAAAAGACTCATCAATATATGCAGCACAGACAGATGCAAAGCACTGAATGTCAGACATAAGCGTTCTATAGCCAAACTAAGCAAATTGCGTAAATTATATCCTGAATAACCCGCCTTCTAATTGTTGAGGTTTCTACACGAGGGGTGTAAAGTAATACTATGGCTTACTAAAACCCTAGTTTCTCAACTCAAGGCAGAATCCTATGGAACTAATCATTGTTTCTTCGAATATCATCTGGAATCAGCTGATACCAAACCATGAGATTATGCTCCAAATAAACTTGGCAGGAGAAAATGGAAAAGAGAAATATAAAAACTAGTGTGTAATTTATAAAATTATTGTACCATGTAATAATTTTGAAAACTTCCTCCGCGCTGATAAAATCTTGCGACTGCAAATGCAAGATCTTCAGCAGGTCTGTGAGGCAAACTTCCACCCCACCTCGTGTACCTTCAAAAAGTCAACCTAAGATAGTCATTTAATCAACATACCAATTAACAAAACAATAAAAGCGTAATTCTCTTAATAGAATCTACACACAAAAAAAAGATGAATATCTTTAATTATTCTGCTAACTGTTACAATGGCCTTAAACAACAAACTTCAATGAGACACTTCTTCGATAAAGCTATTTAATAAGAGCAAAGCTTTGTCAGAACACTGCATGACAGAAAACATACCATCCATCCCAATTCTCCGTCCAAAGTACTGGCTTTGTCTTCGAATTTGGTTTAAAACCATCACAATAGTATCCGTTGCATGCATCTAACTGAGACAAAATGAGATAAATAGACATCAAAAGGGGTGTTTCTTACAGAGAAACTATAACATATGCATAACGTCTTTTTTTGTTAGGAAGCAAATCTAGGGCAAGAAATCGTGCATTATGAATCAACAGATAAAACATTTTCAAATTAGTTAAGAAGTCGGGCCGGTAAAGGCTGACCATCTCAATCATATTTTAGGAGCTCAAAGAAAATCTCTATAAAATCATGAGCCTGGTGAACAGCTACAAGAAAAAAGCAGAGACATCTTAGTGCAAAAAAAAGAAGTTAACAACAACATTACAATATTCTCTGGAGCGTCTGTTTGCTTGCACATAACCCATGGAACTCCAGCACCAAGCCCTAGAGCCATGCTAGCTGCCCATTTGACGTAGTCCTTTCCCTTCTGACCATATGATTTCTCAACATCCCCATATTCATTCTCAATCTGCATAAAGAAATATTTCAGTCCCGGCATTCTTATTCAACAAGCTGCATTAAAGTTTACAACAGTCAATTGGTCAGTCCGAGGCAAGTTATCTTGGTGAACAAAGAATAAGAAGAAAGCAAGCTCACTAATTTGGAAACAAAGTTCAGAAACTACAAAAATACTCATATGACCTGCAGCATGATAATCGGACCGCCTTGCCAACAGAACAGCTTTGCTTCTCGCATCAAATCCACAATCTTCGTTACAAACTTCTGCATCTCTTTCTTGAAAATAGCAAACAGAAAGATATATGATTATATAAGACGAAGATAACAAAGCTAAAACAAAGTACAACAATAAAGGAAATGTGAAGTGAGCATTCAAATCAGAATGTACCTTAAAAGGTTCATTGTCTGTTCGAAACTGTATGCCATGAACATCACGCAACCACAACGGGAACCCCCTAACAAGAATTGAAGGGAAAAAAAAAAAACATAAACAGACTTGAATTAAGAAATGAAGAGACACGAATGGTTGTGAGAAGAAAATACCCAAAGTTCCACTCAGCACAAACATAAGGACCTATCCGTAGATGGAGATAGAGACGACTTGATCCAACAAGCTTCACAAATTTGACAAGATCATATCTTCCTTCAAAGTTATACTGAACAACAAGCCATAGAAAAAAAAAAAAAATCAAACTTTCCAGCAAAAAACCTGAGACCCAAATCTACAGAGAGAAATAACACAAAATCAACACAGACACAGAGAAATCTGACCAACCTACCTGACCCTTAACAGGCTCATGCCCACTCCAAAACACATAAGTTTGAATCACATCAGCACCACCTTCCTTGCTCTTTGTAATAAGATCAGGCCACATCTGAAACCAATTTCAAGATTATTAAGGAATTTAATCAATCCAATTATCTTCTAGATTAGCATTTCAATAAAATATCAGAAATTGTCGAGCTACTGTAAACAGAAAGTTCGGTGAAAGCTTTTCTTACTTCAGGAGTGGCGCGAGGGTAGTGAATTCCGGCGGAGACGAGCATGCGACGTTTTCCGGCGACGATTAGAGCTCGGTGGTCGTAGCTGACGTTGAACGGTTTAAAGTAACTTCCCGAGACGATCGGCAAAAACAAAAGGAAAGCGATAATCGGTGGTAGTAGTGTTCGCCATGGAAGAGAAGAAACTCGTGTTGATTCCGCCATTGAAGTAAGCTCATCAAAGTCCACAGATTTTCCTTTTTTATGTGTATCTCCAAATGAAGAAGATGAAATTCAACAAGAAAAGCAAGCTGCTTGTAAATTATATTCTGATGAAACCCTTGTATTTCTAATAAATGCCAAAATGTCCCCGAAAGTCTATAAATTAACAAAATAACCCCTGTCGCAAAAAAAAAGGAAATACTGTCTGACGACGTCGTTTTCAGTTTACCTTGGGACAGAAGGAAACTTCCTTTTATTTCCTTTTCCCCTTTGTCTCTACGCTCTATATAATACCGAATTCACTCTCACTTCCTCACTTTTTCTTTCCAAAGTTGAGAGTTAAACCCTAGTAGTTGCCTCTTTCCATACATTCTCTAAGAAGTTGAACAAGAGAGAGAAACACACCCTCGATCCTGAAGAAGAAGATTGCGATTGCAAGAGAGAGACCTGATCTTCGCCGTTTGGTGTGTGCTGCGATTAAGGACGCTAATTCAAAGAGTGTCTCCGGTGTTGAACGCTGCTCTGATATTCTGCGGTATTTGAAGAGTTCGCGTCTCTCTGTCAAAGATCTTCGCAGCTCTGAATCGATACTTCCTTTGCAGAGTCTAATAGATCATGAAAACCCTAAGATTCGTATGGGAACTCACGTCTTGTTCAACTCTTGGATGAAGACTCTTTATTCAAGCGGAAGATCAGACTCTAGTACTACCGGCAACAAAGCTATTCCCTTGAATCCGAAGATCAAATCTGATGTTGTTAAAGTATGTTCCAAGTTGAAGAAAAAGACCGAGTTTTTGAGGTTGAAGAAGAACGAAGATGAGAAATCCCAGGCTCGTGAAATCGATGGTTGCAAGTCTTTTGCCAAAAGGACTCTTCAGACTCAGAAACAGGCTTCTCTACCTGTCAAAGTAGCTGAAAACCCTCCATCCTTGAAGAGCGTGAGAGACAAGACTTGCAAATCGATTCACGAAAACCCTAGATCGGGAAGGCCTCTCCATACGAAGAAGCAACTCCTTGTGAAAGTCTCTGGAGACCCTAAATATTGCCCTGCCTTGAAGAAGAACTCATCGGAGATGCTGGAGCTGTTCGACATAGCCAAGAAATCAGCAGATGTGGCTAACGCAAAGGGACTTTTGACGGCTAATGCAGAGACATCGATATGTGTAGACACTCTCACTTTACTCGTGAGCTTCCCCGTCAGCTCGACAGATCCGGGAACAAGGAGGATCATGGAGAAGCTTGAGCGTCTAACAAAGCACAAAGACCGCAAAATCTGCAATTCCGCATCACAACTTCTTAACCATTGGAGGCAGAGCATTAGAGATCAACAACGCCAACAAGACTCGTAAAAGTCACCAGAGGAATCTGCTAAAAGACAAAGGAAGGAAATCAGTAGGCTTTGTTTATTCTTTTGATAATTTGAGTAACACTTTTAATTTCCATTACTCAAAACTCAAAAGCTAAGAGTAAGTAAGGAATGTTTTCACAATCTCTGTTTGTGTTGCTGTTAAAGTCAAGTGTATTTTTCTTTTGTTTATTGTGAATCCATAAAATTTGGAGTTTGATATGTAAAGTTATTTTCAGTTGTAATTGAGAGAATAATAATAAGTAGTCAATATTACAATACTTGAGATAATTACTTGACAAGTATACAAAGCAAACGAAGAAGAAGCTAGCCTAAAGCATAAAGTGATAAAACAAAAACAGCTTAACTAGAACTAGGTGAACCAATTTAGACCAAATTACATTTCGGTTCACATTAAACCGGTATATACATAATCAAATGAACCAGATTATTATTATATTTGGTAAAGTCGAAAAGGAGATTATTTTTTTATCACCGTCGTCACTCTCGTCGGAGTTTTGGTGGCGGCTTCTTCCGGAATCAATGAGCTTCAGGTTATTTTTTCATCTGTGAATTTTAAGTAAGAATAATCGAATTCTCCTGTGTATATGCTTTTCTCGATTTTGGGTTTGCTAATTTCTCTTTGTTTAATTCAAACGCACGCTGATTTAGTGTAAGAACAACCAACTCAAGGTCAGTTAGTTTTGAGTGACACAATCATGAAATGAACATAAGTTTATTGAATTGGATTCTTGGGTTTTAGTTTTAGGGGTTTAGCAACTCGGATTGTGGTATTCTAAGGATTTGAAGTCTGTATGAATTGTATATTCTGTTTGTTTCTATCTGAGTCTTTAGTTTAGGCACTGGTGAAGAAAATGTTATTGATACATATGATGCTTGATTACAGAACTACTTGACAGACATTCAAAGATCAAACGAAAAATAGAAGCAATCCTAATGGTTTCTGAGCATGTTGGGAACAAACCACTCTCGCTTGTATAAAGCAAGAACATGTCCTATTGTCAATCCAAACAACATTCCAGGACCATACCCTATGACCGCTGCTTTCCAGTTCAACA